GAAAATGTATATTACTTTCTCCAAATATCTTTCTATTCATTTTTATTGGATACCACTTTATTCATAGAAATTACTTTAATATATATAATTAATAAGAGTTCAAGAAAGAAAATTATAAATTCAAGGGACAAAATATACGTAATAACCACCACATGTATTATCAAGATTTGCATTTGATATGAGGCTTTCGAGTTTCAACCGTCAATATCCAACTCATTCAATAAAATGGTGCATTTTGGTTTGCACAAATTAAAGTGTCTATTTTTTTATTGCTCACACTTATATTATATTAGAAAAAATTTTATTTTAAAAACTATTTGGTATTAAATATGAGTACTTCTTTCAGTGGAGATTCAAAACTAAGTTTGGCACAAAGTATCTATTAAATTATAAATAAATAATTACCATAAACTTACACCATCTCTAATTGGATCTAATTCGTCTTATACGTGGAATTTAGCTTTCTTTTCAAAACAAAAAGGATTAAGAAAAATAAAAGACAACAAAATTTTGGTGTTCAGTATCTATCTAATTAAGCCTTCAAAATTATAGAGTTGAATAAAAAATAATCACACCACCCACATTCCATTTTTGGCTAAAGTATACTTTTGCTCCTTTAACTTTATATAAGCTTTTACTTTTATCTTTTAACTTTAAAAAGTATATTTTAGCCTTTTAATTTTAAAATTGTTAGTCTTAAATGGTGATTTTTTATAATAATCATGGTTATTTTGAATATTAAACTTAATATGTTAGTATTTAGTAATGTTTTATAAGCATTCAAGAGCTCAATATTATTATTTTTTGTTAATAGTTTTAGGATTGAAGAATAAAAGTTTACTTTTTAAAATTAAGGGACCAAAATAAAATTTGTGCAAAGTTAAAGGACTAAAAATATACCTTACCCTATTTTTTTTTATGATAATGGTCAAAATAATTGAAATGATAACTATTACTACTTTCTGTTTTAATTATAAGAACTCGTTTGTAGTCTATAAATAAGATTTTATAATTAGAATCGAAGATAATATGTATGAGTGCTACCACGAAGATGATCACATGGATTCACTCGTCATGACAGACTCGAAAATTTAAATTGATACAGCAATCACAATAGTCACCGTTTTGATAATGACGAAGACAAAATTGATAGAAGTTGTTAGAGAGACATTAATACACAGAACTTGAAACCATCAAAGTTCAAAATATAGATTTCATACGATGGGTGGGGCGTGTGCTGGCCACAAAAAAGGACGTATAGTGCTCTTAGCTTTTGAAAGACTACGTGTTTGACGAGCAATAACATTAATATAAATCACTTCATCAAATGTATTATATAAATATACAATTTTATCTTTAGTTTATTGTTTTGTTGACTCTTATTTTCTTAGAAAGCATATGATTAAATAGGGATAAAGTGAAAAAGCTATTGCCGACAAGTATTAGTCCTAGTAGAAGGGGGTTTTGCCGTTGTATCAAGAGATTTTGAATTCAAATTTATGTAAATGCTGAGAACGCTTTTAGGATAGTTGTCTCCGGTTGAATCTGACGATATTCGAATATGACCCAATCGGATAGTCACATCGAAAAAAGTTGAAGAGTTATGCCAAATAAAACTATCAGTTAAGTCTTCTCTGTGTACCTTTCTTCCTTCCTTTCCTGAATGTCGCTGCAGATACAATTTCTCAGAAAGAAAACTATGGTAAATGTCATGGAGGAATTGTGTTTATGAAGTCTTTTTTTTTATTTAAAAAATCAATAATGGGAAAAAGGTGCGTGCTGAGTGTTGAAGTAGGAACGGAGAAAAACTATGATATATTTCGGCTCTTGCCATTTCTTGGTTCTTGACTTTGCAAGTTCACATTCTTAGCTTCTCAGAATTTCTGCTTCACGCCAATAATCAAGTTCGTGATTTCATGAGAAATTTCTTTCCTTGGTTGGTACAAAAACTAAAAGTTGATGCCAACCAACGTTTTTCAGGATAAGAAAATTGGACTTAAAGATCAAAAGGTTGAAATGTTTATTAGGAATAGCCAATTCTTGAAATTGTATTAAGAGCTTCAGGAATCTGCATTAATGATTCTTGAAGCTCAATTTGCTCAGTTGTGATTGAAGTTCAAGGGTTGGTCCTTTAATTTTCCACCGAATATTCACCCTTTTAGTTTTTATGTCTAATATTTCCCAAATCTTATTGATTAAAAGCAAAAAGAGGGAATAGACATTTACTATGGGTTTAAAATTAAATTTTTATATTGTTCTGTTCTCTAAAAAGATGCAAGTTTTTTGAGTTTCAAGAATTATATGAATAAGTAGTCTTTTATTTTTTTAAATCTTACGAAAAAATTTAATTGGCTCTCTACATTTTAAATTAGGTCCAACTGAAATTTGTAAGGGTACTTACTTCACAGATAACTAAGTAACCCGGAAAAGAATAGAGATCAACATATAACTATTAATAGAACGGCCAGCTATTTATTAGTTCGTGATATTGATCATCCTTTTTCGGGAATCAGGATGACAATAATTAAATGATAATTTTCTACAAATTATTGTTTTGTATATGTCAATATATGGTAATTAGAGAGGGCCAACTTGAATCCTTGTGGGTTCTAGAATGAAAGATCTGAGCTTTCAGTACTATGGTCCCGAAGACCTTTTCACACCTACCACAAATTTTTAGTACTTCTTTTCTTGAGTATGATTAGGAGTTTTTCTTTTTCTTTTTTTTCAAATGGACGAATTGAACGCTAAATCTTGAGAAGGCCGATGTTGAGATCTGCCCCTTGTTACATGATTTCTTAGGGTAAGACTAAAACTGAAATTATTATTTTTAAATGTAAATATACAAGAAAATAATACACAAGAAGACAAAATTATAAAATTGGCAACAAAAAGTCTTCAAAATTAAAATTATTTTCAAGAATTAAAGGAGCAAATTTGCACACTGAGCCTTATGCATAAGGATTTTTTTTTTTTTAAGAAGGGTTATGGGAAAATATACATCCTTAGTCCTTTAATTTTATACTCCTTCGGTTCTTAATATATGACCCAATTTTTGAGTTGGTTTTGGTCCTAAATATAAGACCCATTTTTCATATTTATTAATTTTCTCTAAATTATCTCTATAGATACTCTCTCAACCATAATCAAGTAGAGGAGGGAGATGTGATATTAAGAAAGATAATTATGGTGTTTTAGGAAAAATATGCCACTTTTTTTTATAATTAATTAACTTACCTAACTTTTTTAATCTAATCAAATTAATTAAATAGGTTTTATATTAAGGACCGGAGGAGTACAATAATTTCAGTTTAATTTCTTAATTTTATGAAGGCTAAAATATAAAAAAAAACTCTCCTTAAACTTTGGGTCAGTATAAAACTTTCTTGATGTTTTAAAGTTTAAAGTGAGCCTGCTTGATGTTATAAATTTGTTGCCTTAAGCCCACTGCCATGTCAGATTAACGAGGATGATGTGACATCCTACATAACATCCAACATGCCATATGTATGAGTTAATAATTTCATGATAATTATATATTTTTTAAAGAAAGGTTAAAATGTCATTTTGAACCCTCATTTAATGAGGATGGTGTCTGTGATTTTGTGTTTTCTTTAATTGCTTGTGCTGGTTTCTGCATCTTCTCAATGTTCGCGTTCCCGTTGAATCATCTATTTGCAATCGTCTAGTCTTTGTGCTTCATTCGAGCTTGAATATTTAGGAGCATGTTTCTAGATTGTTTTTGAATAGTAACCTGGATTTGTATCATATCATGTAGCTAAGAGAACCAAGGCCCGATTTCAGCCCATCACCCATCGATTTAGCCACAACATTATTCCGCATATAGTTGTGCGATTTCAATTTTTGGTTTCATGATTTTGAATTCTAGTTGTCTCGTTTAAAGAACAAGAGATCTGGGTGGGATAATTTGCACCCATCTGTCGTAGTTTTTTGCTTTTGATCAATTCTCTAATTTTATGGAAAAATGCTGCGTTTTCTTGGATAGGGATAGTGGCGTTGTAGCTGGCAACGGCCTGCGGCAACGGGTCCCAAAAAAATGACGGTTGTTTTTTTTCTAATGACAAAATGACATTTTAGCCCTTTTATGAAAATATATAATTGCCACGAAATTATTAACTCATACAGACGCCATGTTGAATGTCTTGTAAGATGCCTCATCATCCTCATTAATTTGATGAGGCAGTTTCTCTCAGACTCGACAGCCAAATTAACGGCAAGGGGCTTGAGGTAAAAGATTTATAAAATCAAAGAGGCTAAATTTAAAATTCAATAACATCAGGGAGATTATATACAACAGACACAAAATTCAAATAAGTTTTTTCTGTTTTACCCTTTTATAAAACATTTTTTCAATCATTCAACTTTTCTTAATTTTATAAAGTGTGTTTTCAATCATTTAACTTTAATACTACTATTCTCAAATAATAATTGTGTCAATAATTGTTATACTAAAAATTTAACTCAATATATTGACATTTGCAAATGTTTTATATACATTTGAAATTTTAATACTAGTATTTTTTTTTTTTGCTAATGAAAAAAACAGCATAGGATTAGAACTTAAAATATACTTTATGAAACTAATGATCAAAATAAAATCTTACGTAAAGTTAAAAGACCAAAAGTGCACTCTCACCACTCAACAGGTTACCTGTTACAACAGCTACCAATAATCCTATAAATGTTTTTCAATGAAGTCGACGTTATTAAAAAAATCTACAAGTAGGACCAGTTTTTATATATAATTAATATAGAGCAAGAGTATGCAATCCCTACAAGAAACCTGGAAAAGACAGACTCGAGACATTGAACCAAAACTAGCCCACCGCGGCTTCATGTTAAGCATGCAAAATATTGAAAGCAACGGGTAATGAAAATAATTCTTAGACAAAAGAAATCATGTTTTTCATCTAAAACACATTTCTAAACATAAAGGAACCCATGGAAGAATCAGCGTCTTCAAATATTGGAGGAAGATGGGAACATTTTTGCCCTACCTCGCGTAATAAAAGTTCAATGGTGTAAATCATAACCTCAGCACAGAACCAGACTATAACAACAGAATTTGTACATATATAACAATGAATCAAAATTTGGAGAGAAAAATACCAAAATTTTGATCCCAACGCAGGAGCAGCTTCAATTTGATGGATGCAACTCAATTTAGGAAATGAAAGAATTTCCCAACAATTTACAACTGCGAGACAAAAGAATAAATATAGACCTGAGCCACTTCACTGGTTGGTTGGTAGTTTGAGGAATTCATCAAAATTAGGACCTAGAAGAGTGTCCATACTCGTCCACAAAACGGCCACACAAGTTATGTACACAACCCTGTAAATATTCACACCATGACTGCACTGCTGGAGCGGAATCGTAAATGAGAATTTACATAGTTCCCTTGATATAGTAGCTAAGTCTTCATTACCTTTTGCAGACAAAACTGGTAGCCATATCACAAGACATGGCACAAAAAAAAAAAAATAGTGAAAGCCATTGTGGAAGATGAATTTGTCATTTCTCCAACACAGTATGCTATCTAAAAACAAGGCTTCCATTCTGCTGCACTCTTAAGCTTTCTATAAGTGACTGGTAGACTGATTTCAGTGCCTTGATATCGTTACCCTGCAGAAAGAAAAGTAGATGAGCAGCCAAAAAAAAAAAAATCTGTGTCACTCTCGCATAAGATACATTATTCACTACAACTCACTTGACAATGCAACAAGATAAATTCATTGACAGACCATAGGGAATCCTAGCAAAGAATGTATAAAAAGGCAAATATCAGGATAGCTTCTATTCCATTTTCTACATATTATCCAAGTTATTTATAAAGCATGAGCTCTGATCCATCTTAGGGACTTGCATGAAAGAATTTTACAACAAATTCACACAGAACAATAAACAAACAACTAAACAAATGGGACCAGAAGCTTCAATTAAGTGACGCATGTTCCAGTTGGATCACAGCAGCTCTTGAAGATGTTACAGATCCAAAAAGTTGAACTACCTGCAACCTTTGACGATACTGCTCAGCCAAATCTGGTGGGCAATGTGCAGCAGAGAATCCTTTAGATACAAAATGAACGAGAAAATCATCGCCAAATTTGTCATACATGAGCTTCTGAGCCGACACAATTTCTCCAAACAAAACAAGCTGAATCAAATGAAAGAAAATATTGAGGTAATACATTCAAAGCAAACCATTAAAAGATGAAAGCTGAACTGCATTTATCAGAAATTAACTGATGTCAACTCAAGCATGCAACAAAAGACTTCATTTTGAAAAATAACAAATATTAACAACTGAATATCATTCATGCATGAGTTTAGACCAAAAAAATAAAGATAATGCTTAACGTATTAATATTCCTTCCTAAATGAAGAACCAGTATGCTCTAATTAAATAATACTACCTCCGTCCCTCAATATAGGTCCCAATTTTCAGCTTTTTTTTGTACCCAAAATAAGTAAATACAAGTCCCAATACAAATTTCTAGGTATAATTAATGTATTGTGCCTAAAGTTTAAAATAATGTGGCATTTAATTGAGAATAAGAATGGAAAGATAAAACTAACTTTTACATATCACATAGATTCTGGTATTTCCTTGATTTGTGTTTTCCAAAATTGGGGCCTATATCAAGAGATGGAGGGAGTAAGAGTTAAAAGACCATACTCCCCACTATAGACGGGTGAATGTTTAAATCAAATATGAGCAAAGCATGAAATGATGTCCATGAAATAGAATGGATATATCAAAGGAAAGGATCCATGCACCTAATGTAATGTTGTATTTTAGAAAATAGGAGTAGAGAGGGGAAAGAGAGAAGAGAGTCAGAGAGAACAGAGAAGAAGTTGAGAGATGAGAGAGGGAAACTGAATCATACGCCATAATATTCGTTAGATGACAGATAAGGATTACAGAGGTTAAGATACTACTTATAGGCATCCCACCAGCTGTCTAATTAGCATAACTAACCAGCAACTAGAACTACCTAAACTACCCTTCGGCCTTATTGAATTAGTGAGCCAAATATTAACCCATGTGGTTTATAGAACTAGTGACCAACCCTAGAACCCATATTATTATTCTATGGTTACACAACATAATGTCATGTGATTTTGTTCGATACCTAGAATTTAGGTTGTGTTTCCCCCCTACAAAATATGAATAATGAAAAGTAAACAGAAAGTTGCAAATGTTTTTTTCATAAGATGTGTCAATTTGTGCTTCTTCATGCTTAGTAGATCACAACCCGCCGTTACCACAGCCACCACTTTCAAGATAGACCCAAAAAATGGTGGACATGAGTGAATAGTGAGAGACATAGGAGGAGGCTCAATAAGAACTCCAACCAATGGAAGGTAAAAATAATCATCACGAACACAAATTAGGACTCCCATCCCCAATAAAACCCAGACTCCTACAGCCACTTTTCCATTGATGGAATAATAACGACATTCCTCCTAGTCTTACATCAGTGTAAACAAATGATGAACCAATATATCTCTATGCAGAGCAAAAAGGATAAAAGGTATAACCTCAACCTTTTAACTAAGAATTTGACCTAAACAACAAAATGACCATCAAGAGGCAGGATTTTTTTATCGGTAATAATCTTGAACGATAGGATTATAAAAACTTAATATGCGCAAAGAAATTGCAAAGCAACAGTAAATGAGCCTTACAGTGTTTGCATCATGGAACTCAAAAGATCTGTCAAGCACACTGTGCAAACAGCAGTTTGGTGCAAATGTCTCAATCACAAAGTTACGGAAACCAGGAACCTGTTAATCATAACATATTTAGCACAGCAAGAAAGTATTCTCATAAAATCAGAATAAGCATGGGGACTTTACCTTCTCTTCATAAGGATGGACACACCAATCTTTAATTAATCTAATAAAGATCTGTACACATGCCTATAATGTAAATAAATAAATCAGGTTCAGATTTTAGCTTATTTCAGAAGTACTAATAGGAGAAAAACACACGATGACATAAAGTAGCTTTCATTACTACCTTTCTCACGAGAATATCCCTATGATTACAAGAAGAGTATAAGAGCAACTGCATCACTTGATTCATGTATGCAGTACTTTTTGGGGAAAGAAAAACTGAAGATAAATCATGTGTAGTAATCACATGTAGAAACGTATACAATGTTCGCTGAAGTTCTTGCAATTCACGAATTTCCTACAAGGAAAAAGAAAAATGAATCTTAGGTTGCATATTAACAAGAAAAATATACCAGACTTCTGCTGTCTAAAAAGAATGTGACAAGAATTTAGAATCAACCTTCTGAATAAAAATGTACACGATATCCCCTTAAAACAGATTTTCAATTCCATCAAATATGAACCTCAGCTAATAATTGCATGCAGTGTGCAAAGAAGAAGCATACAACAACAGAGAAGGAAAAGGAGAAAGAGCCAGATTAAAAGCGAAAGATGCTGCTCAAATTAGAGAAACTAGAAAATATAATGTCACTATACATCTATAGTATAGACATGACCAACGGAACAATTCAGCAAAATACATTGCCAAAGCATAAAGTAACATCACAGTATCTTTTCTACAGTTGTTTTAAGCTGAATCAAACAGGAAGAAGTGTCAACAAGAAAGTGCAGAACGGTAATAAAAGCCAACCGGCAATCATCAATCACTGCCTCACTAATCTAGAGATCCATCGAATTTGCAATTCATGATTCCCTTGCTTGCAGCAAGTAAAACACATCAAGAAAAATAGGCATTTCACAATGAAATAGATGAGGATAACAAACACACGTTCATCAATTTTTGAGACGTTTAACAAACAATATGAAAATCATGGAAATTAATGACAAAATTAACACAAAACCAATGGATGGGCAAATTTATGCACTTTATGGAACTACAAAATGGATTAATACTTTCATACCTCAGTGATTGCTCCAGAACCTGAATGCAATGTTTCTCTTGGAATAACATTGAATATCCTACCAGCAACAGCTGGAAATATTTCCTCCAAAATGCCACACACCATAACATTGAACTTGCAGATAAGTTGATTTAGCAACAAAAGAAAACTGACCATTTCCTTTGGCTGCAATTAAAACATTATCATGACATCACTGTTTTGCTCTTCCTAGTTGAACAAGAAACAGTTGCAGTGTAGCGAGATCAACACCATCAAATAAACCAATTCAAGAGTTCAACGCACATGTCAGATCAAGATGTATTGGAAGCAAAGTAACAAAAGCATTAATCAAACACAATAACATTAACATTAAATAAAACATCATTCTTTTAGTTATTGCTTGCTCCGTCTTTGAATGAAAATAAAAGGATACCATACTTGCAGACTTATTCACTAAGATCCTAAAGCTCACTTAGCGCACCCAAAATTTAAGAATAGAACATAAAACATGCTGTGACTCTAACAGCAATAGCAAACATCAAAGGATGGAATTTTTCAAAACCCCATAGAGCACACCAACATGCATCAACTATTGCAAGAGGCAAACATCTCAAACACCAGAAAGCCCTTGAGAGATAACCACAATGCAAGCAGAAACATGTATAATGGAAAGAGGTCAAATATTACCTATGCACCAACAACCAAACAAGAAAATTAAGGGTGAGATGGTATGTTAAACATATTGCCATCACATCCTAATTGGAATTAACAAAAGAACTTCTCATACATCAACAATTGAACCACAAAGTAGTGCATAGAACTGAATTGGTACCTAGATGTTGCAAAAATAAAATATTTGGATGTATTTGGATGAAGAATTTAAAAAAGTCCTATTGAAATACAAGGGAATTAAACTACTCTAATTCAATTTCTGAAATCACCCTTCTTCTTGTGTATTTTTTCATAGTTTTTTCTAAATCCATATGATGTCAGAGTCTGTGGTTCGTGTTTGGTGATGAAGACTAGGAATGGAGTCTAACGGCTGGGTCAGGGGTCCAAACAATTTGGTCGAGGTCAACAACTTGAACCCAGGGTCCAAGTTTAGTCTGATAGATGGGTCCATGCCATGTATCAAGTTAAGGGTACAGGTTAGGCTCATGTTCAGTGGATACATCTCCGTCAAGGGTCTAAGCCACAGTGTCACGCATGGTTTTGGTTTGGTAGCTGAGTCTAGGTCCAAGGTCCGTCTGACAGCTGCATGCACAGCAAGGCGTGTCTCATGTCAAAGGTCCCGGTCTGAGGTTGGCATCAAGGCGCCTATGATCACACATCTAGTTTGCTCATTCTTAGAGTCCAGTTAACAATAAGAATTTGAAATATCCTATTTTTGGTCAAACACTTCCACAGTTAAATTATTGGTCAAAAGAATTTGATGAATAGATTACTCAGAATTTTGAGGGCCCTGATATTTTCTATCCAAACGAAGTATTTTGGGAGAGAATTTAATTACTCATCCCGCTGACTTCATCTAAACAACACTGAGTGAAATCAGATATGATATGCACCTCACTTTCTGCAAGCAACTGCTCCAATGCCTTTGGAAGGTATGGGAAGACAGATGCTCCTAGTGTGTCCACCATACGATGTATAAAAGACGTGACCTACATGCCAGGCGTGAATATTATTAGGCAACAAATACTGATGACTTAGAAGAGAAGCACCAATTCCTGTATCTAGCTCTTACCTTGCTTCGCAAAGGTTCAACTTTTGGAAAGACAACAAGAACTTGGAGAAGCACATCCAATGTCTAGGTAAATGAAAAGAAGAATTATAACCCAAATGACATAAATTTGAGAGAAATTAAAGAAATGCTAATATCATGGTTACAACTCCAAAAAAGCATCCAAGAGACAGTAAATCAAAGCAATTGGATACAATTGTTTAAGCAGAGCGCACTCACGCACACCACATAAGCGGGGTAAGTTCCAGCAGATGGGAAATCGGTATAAGAAATTAAACATCTAATTGTCTTCATCTAAGGGCATAAAAAAATAGAGAAACACATCCCACCATTCACAAAAAGAAATGAAAAACGCCATAGATTAGATATCAACAATGCTCACTACATAACGGAAAGTGAAACTCCAGATTATTCATTTGTAATCCTTTTTATAGCTGCTTAACCACATAAATGACAGTGCATTTGGATCCATTAAAATATAACAAAACGCTAACCTTCTTGAACATGAGACCAATTGCAGGGCGACTGGCAGTTACAAGACGCTCACTGAAGCCCTGCCAAAATGACACGGAAAATATGTTGAAAAATGTTTCAAGTTTGCTGCTTTTCAATTGAAGATATTGACTTCAAAATTATAAAAATGTAAATCTGCTTATCAATATAAAGAGTTGTAAGTATTTTGGGTAATTAAGATGAAAAGTGGAAATTACAAAGCACCTTGCTGAGAGCATTAATTGCCATGATAATTTGCTGGATAATAGCAACCTTGGCATTAGTCTCCTCTACACTCAATAACTTGCTATTGATGAGCAATGCCTCAACCTGTATCAAAAAAGCACAAGACATGTATAAAAATCACACACCAGCAGATAGATTTTGAGAATATCTGAGAAATCATATATTCAACACTTTGAAATTCAAGAATAACCTGTTGACAAAGAGGATTGAGCAAGGATGATAGATAATCAGATTGGTTCTCGAGTGGGACATCTTCCATTCCAATCAATAACCCAATTGCCTAGAAGAGAAAGATAACAAATAAGCCAAATGACAAAGGCATTCAAAAAATATCCATAATGCTAAAATTATGTAAAATGAGAATACCTCAAAAATGTGGCTGCCATCTTCTGACCCTGATAGCTCTTCTGTTGTATAATCTAAACTGGTGAATTGCACAACAGAATCTCGTAGGCTCTGGGTATTTAAATGAGATAAGGAGATATGAGTTAGGATAATGAATTAAATTCATACAATAACTAAAGAATGATCGAAGGAAATACGCATGACAAATCTTGTTTAAACAGCATGATAAGATTTAAAGTAGCAGATTACTTAGGAAAAAGATAACCAGGGACAGATTATATTCTGCTACCTGCAAAATTGTCTCGATGAAAGGAACCAGCTTCACTTTTAGCAATTTTACAACCCTCATAAACAAATAACCGGCCCTTCGGCTTACTCTGATGTTAGGATGACGTATGCCTCTTTCATCCAGAAAGGCAGCAAGAACCATAGGAATACACTGGGCATTATCCTGAACAAACTTGATATATCTTGTTATTGTTTCCAGATACACGAGAGCAACTAGCCTATTAGAATGGCAAGGAAATCTTGTTGATAAAAGCATAGTCACCAGCTCACTCAACATACCACTCCCAGTCCGCAGGGCTTCATCACTAATTGACTCTCCAAGTGCATATACAAGAGAAAGTGCAGCTTCCACCTCCTCAACATTGCTGTTTGAGGTAGATGATATAGCATTTAATAATGAATTTCTGATAAACAATTGCGTCACTTCAGGCGCAACACGACCCACACTTCGAAGAAGGACAAATAAATCCTTTCTAAACTCTACCATTCTATCTTCCTCCTCCTTCCCAATTTTATCTAAAACATCAAGATGATTTCGGTACCCCAGGTCATAACAGATCAGCGATAAAATCACATCTAATATCTGTCCCACATGAAATAGTTGTTTCTCCCGCAAAGGAGTAACGCTTTTTAGAGTGGAAACATAATTCGAAAGAAACTGAACGATATTAAATGTAGTGTCCACCTCATAATTCTTCATTACATAGAAAACTGAGGGTAACACTTCATTTAGAAGCTCCATCGAGATTCCTTTAGCAACCTCAGAATTTATACGCTTAAAGCAATCCAAAACCTCAGCTGCATACCCTGTGAGTAATGCCGCTATATCAGAAACCAACCCGGAATCAGTATCCTCTGCTATCAATCTAAATATGCGATTAATTTGAAGGCTCTGCAACAGTGAAAGTTTAGGTTGTGGTTCCATTCGCTTAGAGACTACTGCTAACAAGCATCTGACAGCTGCGCCACGAAGTTGATCCGACAGTCCACCAACCAAAATCAAATCAAATAGTAGAGGAACAAAAGCATCGTTCACAATCAACCTGATGTCAATCCACGAAATATACCTTCTCATGGAATCTAATGCACTAGTACAAAGTTCTTGATCAGAATTTTTATACATAGACACGATGTCATACCACGCTCTCACTATCTGCGCAACACACTGCTCCCTCATCGCATCCTTAACCCGCCCAGCAACAGTCAATTCTTCAGGGGTCCGCGGATAGTCCAAACTAATCAGTTCATCATCCAAGGCATTCAAAACCCGACAGAACATGTCTATCACCGCATTCCCTTTGCTCAAATGAGGGACAAAATCCACAAATACAGACGACCAAATTAGCGGGTACTCAAAGTAAATCAAAGTGACCAAAACCTGAGCAAGCTTATTCTTGATAAAAGCGGGGCCTTCTAAAACCCTCAACCGACTGTTGTCATTGATCCCTTCAAAACACACAATAGAAAATACAGAGCTTCTAATCATATGCTTCTCATCCAGGCTCATTGACGAGTATCGAGCTTGAATCACTTCTTGTAATGTCTGTAAAGACCAAAACTGCACTTGAACAAGATTTGAAAAGCATAATTTTTCAATACACAAACTACAAATTGATGGCTTCTCCTTAATTTCATTACAAAAAATTTTAGCCCGTTTCTTCAATCCATCATCAACAGCCCCCGACTCATCAAACATAATAAGAATTGCTTTCTCAAGATCATCCATTAGACGCCGCAAGAAAGCAGAGAGTCTAGAATCCAATAACTTTCCGGTCAGTTTCCAGATTTTTTCCGAGCAAGAATAGACGGATAGGGCTTGTGGCAATGAGAGAAGAAGGTTTGTTGAGGGCTTACCGGAGATCGATGGGAATAAATTCAAGGACTAGGGTTTTGGCTATACCTCTCTGCTAAGTCTGTGCTTACTAGGTTTTTAAATGTGACAGAAGGGAATTAACTATACGTTTTGCCTGGAAATCAGCGCAATTTATAGTTTCGGTTTTTTGTTTTCAATTTTTTTGCAAATAAAAATAAATCAATCAAAAGATCTTTTAAACCTTAAAACAGCGCATAATTACCGAAGATCTTTTTTTAAGAAAGCTTATTTGGATTTGGGCCACTTTTAAGAACATTTTGATTATAATTTATATTCAAAATATTTAATAACAAAATTACTTAAATTTTATCAACAACAAACTTCTTAAAATTAAAATTAATATCAATATGGGTAATAATGAAATTGTTTCGAGTCTGTTAAAGCTTGTGAGGAAAGAATTACTTTCTTTGCAACAGGTTAGTTTTTCTCGTGTGTATGCACCATGAGCTTGTGTTAAGCTGATTGGGCTTGGGCCCGTATTTTCATCAAAAAAATAATAATGTCAATATTAATGCACCATCTGTCATCAATCAATGCCAATTATAATCAATGCAAACAGTCAATAATCTACTAATTCATTGCTCCAATTGGATGCACCAAATTTAAGTTGATTTGAAATCTAAAGAAACTTCAGTTCCAAAAGAAAGAAAGATCTAAAGAAACACTACTACCTCCCACTTTTTTCATAAATAACATTAGACCCTATCAAGTAGGTCGAAAAATTAGCTGAAGACAATAAATAAACAAATGAGAATTAGAAGTTTTTTCCCCAAAATATCTTAATTTATGAGAAAGAAAAGTACAAGAAAAAGAATATAAAAATTATTATAATAAAGAGAATTATAAAAAAGAGAGAATGTGGATAGAGAGATGATAGTTTGAAAAATAAGATAATAAATATACTGGATATTAAAATAAGTAATTAATGGGTCAAAATAGAAAATTTGCTAAAAAAATTTAAGACAATTTATAAATGTTGTTTATATTTAAGGATAAGAGGGTATGGTAGTTGTTGTTTATAAAAAAGAATAGAGAAAATAGTGCCTAGATTTGTTACATTTTCAGATATTACTCATTTATTACCCCTCTTATTCAATTTTTAGTATTTAATGCGTATAGATGAAAAAAACCCAAGTAGATAAGGATATTGTGAGCAAAACGATTAAAAAAAATTAAATCTCCTAATTAGCATGAAATCAAGATCTTGTAATGAATTTTATATTTAGGATCATATTGAATATTAATTTTTAATTACATTTGGACTTTTAAATTTTTTTACACATAACTTCCTCATCACTAGTTATTATTGTTAATATTCTGTACTTATTTTAATTCTTTTGGGTTTAAAATTCATCTAATTTAAATTTGATTGAAAATGCATATATAAGATTGATTATGTACGTCTTCTCTAATGATTAGAAATAATTTTCATATTAAAAATACAGTTGCCAAAAAAAAGGAAAATGACAAGTAAAGACCCTAAATTATCAAAATTATAAAGAGATTACCTAAATAAGCAAAATTACCATGAAAGACTCGGTTTCATATTATAAATATGAAATCTTAGTGAAATGTCTGAAATGCCCCTAAGTCAAGTTGTGATTTAGTTTACTGAAATTCTCATTCGTTAAAATGAACTTGTTATTTTTCATAATTAACTTGTCATTTGGCATACCTTTAACTAAGTTGTGATTTGATCTATTAAAATTGTCATTCATTAAAGTGAATTTGTCATTTGGTTGAAGGGCATTTTAGACATTTCACTAAAATGTCATATTTACAATATGGAACTGGGTCCCTCATGGTAATTTTATTTATTCAGGTAACCTTCTTGTAACGCTAATAATTTGGGGGTCTTTGTTTGTTATTTTCTCCCAAAAAAATTGGTGTCAGATAAAGGACTCTGCACCCACCAAAAGAGATTTTATTTATTGATTATTTTTTCAAAAATATTTCCTTGCATCTGCAAAGGGGGTGGTTCCTTCTGTACCGTACTTTTGCGTTTGAATTTTGATTTACTTTAGATTTATTTTGATTAAAGATTTAATTTACATTTTTTGTGCTTTAATGATTTTTTTTAATAAAAATTGAGTGACCAAGGGTGTATTTAGCTCCAAGGAGGGAATGGGAGGTTTGAATTAATGAGAAGAGAGGGAGATTATAGTTACCTTAATTAGTAATTAGTTTAAAAGACAGAAATTATGGGCAATTTTACCTTTATTTTATTTAAGTTGTTTTTTAAATTATATAATTTTATTTGAAACATAAACATTTAATATATAAAATTTAAACTTATAATTATTAAAATTGAATAAATATAATTATAATACATAATTAACAGCTAACATATACACTGGCTAATATATACTCAATAATAATTATATTTATATAAATGTATATTCGAAACTATATTTTATAATGATAAATATAATGCATATGCATACACACACACACTAAGAATTATAAATATAATAATACTTCCAATCTGTGACAGTGTTACCTTCTGCATATCTAATTCTTACAGCAACAACTTTACAAGAATAGCTAGGGAACCGGATAATTTAAATTAGGCAAGGATAGGTTTGACAAATTCATTCCATTCAATGTCAATTAATAACCATTTATAGTGATTTAATAGCCAATTAAATTTGACGCGATATTTGGAAAGTTTAAAAATATATATAATTACAAGAGCTAGGCTGCCTACAATAACAATTGCATGTGAAAAAGCAAACGTGGGGGAAAAAAAAAATACTTTGATGAGAAGAGGGAGGGGAAGGTAATTCTTCCAAATTCAAATATATCCCGTCCTATAGCTAATTTATAAGTCATTTTTAGGAGGAATATTTAATTATTATTATTACTATTATAAAGTAAGGGATGAAACACTACCTCTATTCCTTTTTATGAGATGTAAATGATCAAATTATATATATTAAAAAGTTGGTTTAAATTAATTAAAAACAATAAATATGTAAAAATACAACGTATTTTCCAAAAGCGATCTTATTTATAAAAAAGATAGGCTTGAAAGAGAATAAGTAAAAAAAAATAGACGAGGTTGCAGGGGAAAAAAAAAGAAGAGGGACATGGAATTAATTGACAGTAAAAAAAATGCATTAAAAATTCCTAAAGTGTAGTTATATTAAAAATTGCGCACAGACTCAGAAATTTATATCTTATAAAAAGAAGTAATACCTCCTATTCTTGATATAAAAGTTAATTTAATATTTAATTTGATTTTAAATATAAGATTATAATTTATTTTATCTCTCGTATTTGTCTATTTTTTAAAAATAATTATTATAATAGTTGCACCTATTAAAAGTTTCATTACATGAAAGTTTTAACTAATATATATATATGATTAGTAAGAATATGCTAAAAAAACAATATATATTTATTATAAAAAATTAACTTAATTAATTTTTTTAATATCTTTAAATTAATTATCTAGTTTTTATATCAGCTACACAAATTTGTAACAGTAATTTATATGTTACCAAGCACCCGCGTCCTGCTAGGCTGGTATCTTGTATATTGTCACTTAATAATATCCAACGCCTTCCTCAAATTTTTCTCCAAGGGAGGAACTGTCAGTCGGAACCTTCTACTACAGATATAATGGATGTTTGGGTAACTAAGAAAATGATTTTAAAAAGTATTTTTTTAAAATTAAAACAAATTTCTTCACATATTTATTTCATATATCTTAAAATTATTTTTAAAATTATGATTTAGTACTCATCCAAACACCCCCATAATGACAACTTTCTGATCAGTCACCTCTAAATTTTTTTTGACATATCATTTTATTTCTGTTTATAAGTTATTTATACTTAAAGATCACAAATAAAAAAATATATTAAATTAATCGTTTCTTTTACTTGTGTTCTTATTGAAGTGAGTGTATTAAAACTACGTTTTATATTTTTTTCTTACATATTTACTTTGTTTTTCTTTATGCATTCATTAAGCCAACAAGAATAAAATTTAAAAAATATTAATTAGCTCATCTTCAGAAATAATTTTTTTTAATAAATAACTTAAAAATAAAAACAGAGTCGCATATATATGAAAAAATTACTCACACATACAACCTCTCCTCCCGCTGGGGAGAAAACCCACACCTATAGCTTTCACGCACTACCCACACAGGAGCAAAGCCTGCGAGCTCCCTCTTACTGGCCTCATTAAAGTCGAGTTCAATTAGTTTATATAAAGACCATGACCTCTCATTTTTGTTTGCATTAATATTTGTAAGACAGGTAAAGTTGAGATTTTAATCCCCGAGTTCAAGAGGAGGACCACAAAACAAGATTTAAAAACAGATGCGCGTCGCATTCCCTTGAAGAGTTGAAGTTGATCGCGTCATCCATAAAAAAAATAATAATAATATTGATTGGAAAAGAAGAAATAAAACGAAAAATCTGAGAAATACGTTCCAATTGGCTTTAGTATTACTTTTATTCATCAAAAAGACACCCAGAAAATACACAGTCAGTACTCTCACATCACAGAAAATAATAATAATAATAATAATGACGACGACGACGATAATAATAATAATAAAAAGAAAGCTCTCGGTTTCCTCATACAAAATGATGAAACCGATAAATTATTTATGATGGAATCAATTCCAGTGCTCATGCCCCGGTGTTTCTCCTCGGAGATCATCCATCGAATCTTATTGCCCTCATCGTTTGGTTGATTCATGAAGTAAGTAGGCGTAAGTTCCTGCACATGCTGTGAATGAATAATGTAAATATGGGATATATAGAAATACACACACACACACACTCATTTGGTCCTTAATATAGGATCTAATTATCAAGTTGATTTTGGTCCTAAATATAAGATATATTTATCATATTTATCAATTTTTTCTAAATTAATCATATAGATACTTCCTCAACTATAATCAAATAAAATAGGGAGGGAGATGATTATGGTGTTTTAGGAAAAATATGTTATATTTCTTATAATGAACTAACTTATCTAACTTCCTTAATCTAATCAAATTAGTTAAATATGTCTTATATTAAAAACCGGAGGAGTATATTGAACAGTACTTTACACTTACAAACATTCTAAACTTAGGATATTGAATGTTAAATGAAAAAAATAGTTGAACTAACTTCAAACTAGATATACCCACCAACCCGTAAGCAAAGATATGTCCAAAATCAAAAAGTATAAACATATATTTTTTTGGATGGCCAAAAAAAAACATTTTTTTAATTTTATATAATTAAACACACACACATATATATGAACATATTAATACCAAATTTGAACTTGAGACCTTATCACTTCCATTTGCTTAAAATAAGATTGGATCTTGGATACATTAAAAAAAAAAAAGGGTATTAGATGTGCCTGGAAAAATAAGATCACCTGCTAAATGTACTCTCAAGGAGAGTCGCGGGGGCGTTCAAAGCTGACTCTTTCTACAGTTGGTCTCCTCATCCTTATTATTCTTTTGGTGACCGGCTCTTTGAATTCTTCTTCTATTCTTTCCGTTACTTCTTCAGCATCAATTTCTGGCCGCTGCTGTCCCACATAGAATGGCCTAGAGGATGGCACAGTTGCAAAGCTAGCTCTGAGAAGTTGCCAGTAAAGTGGGATTTGTGTTGCGGAGTAAAAGCAAAGAGGTATGGAAGTGAGAGAAAGGTACAAAGGGAAACACTTAGACTTATGGTTGGGATAAAGTTCAAAGACGTGCGCAGCACAAAAAGAAATCAACATAGAGACAATGGAGACAAACAAGGAGAAAAAGGCAACAAGAAGCTTCAAGGGCAAAGCTCGACGATAATCCTTGTACCGATCACTTCGTGAAGAGTAAATGGCAAGGAAGGCAGCCAAAGAAGTGATGGAGAAGCAAAAGGAAACAAGTGCGGTTATAGCAAACAATTGAAATGCAGTGTTGGTAGATCCTACAATTGGTGTGCCCTTTTGGCTGTCATAACCCCCTGGGATTTGGAAGCAAGTCGCAAACGTAACACTGGAAATAAGCGTGGTGGCAACCATGTAATTCCCACACATATCATTCACCCACCTGTCACTTTCCTCCAACATCCCACCGTGTTCCTCCTCAAAGATCATGCTTGGAGTCTTGCCCTCCTTGTTTGGTTCATTCATGAAGTAAGCGGGCATAAGTCCCTGCACATACTGTGAATGAATAATGTTAACAATGTATTTGGGATACGCATAAAGATGCAATTTTAATAACGGGTTAAGATGTATCAGCACTCTTATCAAGTAACGTTTCAGTAGTAAGTATCATAAACTTATATTCTGTAGCAATAAACATCAAAAACTTAGAATATTGAGTGCTAATAAAAGAAAATTACTTCATCAGGATGTTTTAGATGCGCTCCTTAACCCTCTAGTACTACTACGACAATAACAAGAAGTTTTATATCACTAGGTGGGGTTGGTTACATGTGCTGCCATCATTGTGCTTCATCAATAACATGATCAAATTCTTAAATAGGTTGTTAACTAAAAGAATCCATTCAATAACTTCATTAAGTGTTTTGTTTGGTTCTCAGACTCCATGATAATTAAATGAAATGAATGAATTAAACTAACCTCAAACCAGTGCACTTCCCACTGCAAGTGAACGACAGACACAGAGATACTGGGATTAACAGAACGCTTTGCGGACAAGTGTAACGCAGTATTTCCCTTGACATCCTTTCCATGCCTGAGGCGCATATCTGTCCAACTCGAGTGCTTCATCACTTCCTTCAATATTTCTGATTGCCTCGCCTCTATTGCCACCAGCACTATGTTCTTGTTCTCACTGGTTTCATCATATATCGCAAAAGGCTTTCGTCTCAGGAGTTCCCTCACCAACTCCGTCGCACCGTTTCTAGTTCCGCTTAACAATGCTGTCCATACTTTTTCAGCCCCTTCACTCCATCAAATTCAAAAAGAAAGAAATTTAGACAAATTTCTTACCCCTGGTCGGTTATTAATTAATTTTAAATTAACAATATATAGTTTTATAATTACCGCTGTGTTCCCGTGGGCCTGCTGGCCGTGGAAAGGCTGATGCCTCTTCGGATGCTTCCTCTTGAGCCGACTTTGAGACCATATCACGTACGTCTGAGTCAATGACGGCGTCGTACCAAGAGTCTCTCTCTACAATATATAGTTTCATGATGGGAGGAATATTACTTTCGTCTCATCCGTTGGAAAGAATATATGTCTTATCCGTTGGAAAGAATATAATAACTCTTGAAAATCTTAACGTGGGCCACTTTTTCGTATATTCCAACTTGTCTGCAATTGTTTTGCTCATCATTTGTGCTTTAAGATCAACATAAACAAGCTGCAAATAGGTGTGGCTTTAACAAAAGAAAAAAGAGGCTGTGCAATTCATCTTACCATGCAAGTTTCAATTTGAAGGTAAACAACACTAATTCGGGTCTTTGCCATTAAATTTGAGTAGATTAAAAAGTTAAATAAGTTTATTAATTATAATATACGTGATTTAATCTCCCTTAAATATCCTTGTATGGTAATAAATTATATATCAGTTTATAAGACATCTAAATTAGTTTCAACAAAAAGATAAATATGAGAAACAAATTAAATAGATAGAGGTGTTATATATTTATGATCAAATTCAAATCCTAACTAGTTCCTATATTAAAAATTAGGGGAGTATCTACATATGTATATATATTTTTTATTTTAAGGGATATTTCAAGTATAAGTTTTTTAAAGTAAAAATAATACTTATGCTTCCTGTCTTCTAAAAGAGACATGCTTCCTTAAAAAAAAAAAAGAAATTAAAGAGAAAATTAAATGAGAAGTTTGTTTGTTTGCTTTTCGTCTTTCATGCATGTGTTGGATGATTTTGATTTTCTTTTTCTCTTTCTGTTAAAAAAAAAAAAGATGTTTGTTTCTTTTTCAAAATGTTTCTTGTTTTGGGACCCTTTGATCATCATCTTCATCTTAATTCTAACCTCTTGTTGCACGAAAGTAGTCATGATGTGAACCTCATCCTTCATAGCAACAGAAAACCAATAAATGAGGGAACCGGTTTCAGTGCTCATCATTTTGATGAACACTTTAAGTTCATCAAATATGAACTGTCTATATCTAATTTGAACAGTCCAGATTTAAAATTTTTAATTAATTTTTTTAAATAGAAAAAACTATTTTTTGAAAGAATAATAGTTAAGAGATTGTCTCTATTTTAGATTTTATAGATATTAAAATAATTATTTTAAACAAATACAAATAAAAAAGAAATCAAATCCAAATCATTCAAATGAAATATGGATCATCCAGATTTGATGAGTTTAGGGTGCTCATCAAAATGACAAGCACTGAAACTGATTCCTTATCATATATTGACTCCATAAAGGGATGGACTTAATTGGTTTTCCGTTGCTGTGAATGATGAGGTTCACATCATGACTACTTTCTTGGAACAAGAGGTTGGAATTAAGATGAAGATGATGATCAAAGGGTCCCAAAACAAGAAACATTTTGAAAAAGAAACAAACCTCTTTTTTTGTAAAACAGAAAGAGGAGAGGAAAATCAAAATCATCCAAAACATGCATGAAACACGAAAAGTAAACAAACAAACGTGCCATTTAATTTTCTCTTTCTCTTTCCTTTTCGAAAGGAATCAGGTATCTTTTATTTTTCCTTGAACTGAAGGCAGGAAGCATATATAAGCATTATTTTTACTTTAAAAAAATTATACTTGAAATATCCCTTAAAATGGGGGGGGGGGGACAAAGTATACATATGGAGACAGTACTCTCTCTAATTTTTAATAGAGGAACTAGTTAGGATTTGAATTTGATCATAAATATATAACACTCCAATCCATTTAATTTGTTTATCATATTTATCATTTTTTAAAACTATTTTAGATATCTTATAAACTGATATATAATCTAATATTACACACTGATATATTTGGAAGATTAAATCACATCTATTATAACTAATAAACTTATCTAACTTCTTAAGCCACTCAAATTTAATGGTAAAGACCACAAGTGGTGTGGTTTACCTTCAAATTGAACTTGCATGATAAGATGAATTGCACAGCCCTCTTTTTTCTTTTGTTAAAGCCACACCGATGTGCAGCTTGTTTATGTTGCTCTTAAAGCACAATTGATGAGTAAAACAAATGCAGACAAGTTGGAATATACTACCTCCGGTTCTTAATATAAGATCTACTTGACTAATTTGAAAAGATTAAGAAAATTAGTTAAGTATTTGTTATAAATAGGTGTTGTTTTTCCTAGAATACCCTTATTCATTATGTATATTAGCTAGAATTATTATTTGATGAAACATTTAATATGTACAATTACTATAAAGACTACTTTGAAAAAAATGAATAAATATAAAAGACAAAGTGAATTGAAGTTTTATATTTAGGATAAAATTAAAAATCAAACAAGTTCTTATAATTAGAAACAGAGGTAGTATGAAAAAGTGGCTCACATTAAGATTTTCAAGGTTATAATATATATATATTCTTTCCAACGGATGAGGCGAAAGTAATATTCCTCCCATCATGGGGCCATGATATATTATACGGCTTTAGCTTGCCTACTTAAATCATCACAAAGCTTTCGGTCCAAAAAAAAAAAAAATCAAAGCTCCGTCTGATCTCAGTCACCATTAATTAATTCCTGCCTCCTTTTTGCGAATGGGTTTTTGTGGGCTCTTCAAATGTGTCCAGTTTCAGGGACTTAGGTGATAAATCCCAAACTCATTATGTCTCAACCGTCAACCGTCTATATTAAAAAAATTTAATTAAAAAATTATTTCTGAGAAAAATAATAATTAAAAATTATTTTTATTTTAGATGAAAACTAAATCAAATATGAACTGCTCAAATCATGTTTGAACAATCCAGATATAATGAGCTTGTACATTCATCATTTTAATGAGCAGCCGAACCCGTTTCCTAATTTCACCACATCAAAGCATGCATGTGGTTCACGTCCTGGTTCTGTTCCTCATTGATTAATTTTGGACTTTGATTTTAGAGCCACCGCACACCATTTACTTTGCATCTTTTACATGATAATAAGAAATAATCAACTTAACTAGTTTTTTTAACTTTCATAAATTGGTTAATTAGGATTAATATTCAGGACAAGAGGGTCATTGTCTATTTTAAATGTTCTCACTTATTCAGTATAAAATCGATCAATTTAGAATTTACTCCTCATTATTTTATCAACATTTATAATATTAAAATATGTAATAAATGTATCTCTAAATTACGTACCATGCAGCAGGCTTAGTAAAGTTCGCCGGAACCGTTTTCCATGCCGAGCCCTATGATGAGCGCCAAGTGCTCATCAAGCAATACGCGCCATTCATTTAATTGCCATGGTCGTTTTTGCTGGGCTTTTTAAAAAAAATTTTCTCAAAGTTTACCCATGCTGGATGATATGAGACACGCTGGACGCCCTTTTTTTTGGGAGGGAAGGCAGGCTCTAACTTTTTGCAATTGAAAAAAAATTACTACTAACTCTTATATCTGATGTACGAATTAGTTAGAGATTGAACTTATTTCTAAATAAGAGATCTTAATCTATTTTATTTCTTAAAATTATAATATTTTCTTTAAAATATCCATATATTGATTGCAAGGGTTCCCATCAAAGGATAGTTCCAAACATGATTAAAGAGGACAATTTAAAAAAGTCAATACACACTTGTTATAGTTGACCAACTTAACTGATTTTCTTAATCTTTTCAAATTAGTGATTTAGCTCTTATATTAAGAACTAAGTGTTATATTTTTTAATAATTACAACCTTCTCTATTAATATAAGAACTAAATAATTAATTTGTGAATATTAAAAAAAATTAGTTAAGGTAATTATTTCTATTAAATGAATATTGTTTTTCCTAAAATACTCTTGTTAATCATGTGTAGTAGCATGGTAACCCTTTTAACATGTTCAATCACCATATAGACAACTTTGTAAAAAAATAAATAAATATGGGAAACAAAGTTAACTGAAATTATTTATAATAAAATTGAATTTTTAACTAGTTCATATATTTGGGACTGGAGGTAGTACGCATGTATCTATATTGGAATTAATATTTGAAGAATAACTATATTTTATTAAAATATTTGGAATTAATAGAAAAATGAAAATTTTTGTGCATATCAGCAGGATTATCATGCATTCAATGCCCAGGATTTCTTCCTTAACTATTAGAACACTGCGTTTCGGTGATGGGCGTATGGTGCTCATCGCCCGCTTAGCAGGGAAACTGGATCCTATATGATAAATATTCATTCCACCGTGTCATATATCTTCTTAGTTCCCCCTTCATAACACATATAGGAGAGATGAAATTTTCCTTTTGTATAATTTCACAACATCCTGACTAATTACGATGTTATGGGGCAATATAATGGACCCACTTTTGACAAAAGCTCTGTAATAATTTTCATGAACAAAACCAGGGGATGAACTTTATTAAGCCTGCTGCACGGTACGCAATTTAGAGAGACATTTATTACATATTTTAATATTATAAATGTTGATAAAATAATGAGGAGTAAATTCTAAATTGATCGATTTTATACTGAATAAGTGAGAACATTTAAAATAGACAATGACTCTCTTGTCCTGAATATTAATCCTAGTTAACTAATTTATGAAAGTTACAAAAAAAATTAGTTAAGTTGTTTGTATCTTATTAAATAGTTGCAAAGTCCAAAATTATGTAAAAGTTGCAAAGTAAATAGTACGTGGTGGCTATAAAATCAAAGTCCAAAATTAATCAATGAGGGCCAGAACCAGGACGTGAACCACATGCATGCTTTGATGTGGTGAAATTAGGAAACGGGTTCGACTGCTCATTAAAATAATGAATCTACAAGCTCATTAGATCTAGATT